TTTGGCTCAGTGGTTAGTTAGAGCATCAGCCCGAGGACCAAAAAGTCATGAGTTTGATTTTGGTCAAGGGCATGTACCTCGGTTGTGGTTTGTCCCCAGCCCTGGTCAGGGTTGTATGTGAGGTAACCAGTTGATGTGTCTCTCTCACATAGATGTTTCTCTCTCTCCCTCCCCCCTCCCTTTTATTCTATCTGAAGATAATTGGAAAAATATCCTCAGGTGAGGATTAAAAAAAAATTTATCTTGCTTTGACTTATAGGTCAGAATTACAACATATCATTTAGTTCTCTGGACTGGAATGCCCTTTTGTGATTGAGAAATGTTCTAGTTACCTGTCTTTGTCCTTTAATTTTCTATAGGTCTTTGAAATTCAGTCTGATATTTAAGGTATTTTAAGGAATAGCTGTCATAAGTTCTATTGTGTTGTTTAAAGTGAACTAAAGTATATCAACAATCTCTTATGATTTGTTTTTCCAACTTGATACTGCCTAAAGACTTTGAATAGCTAGTGTGTATGTTGCTTCTTTGTGTTTTCATGTTTAAACTGTTAGGATGAAGCTCTCTTGTTACTGATAGTCTCTAAATTAATCATTTTCAACCAGCCACCTGAGTGAAAATAATACTCAAGTACACAATTGAATTTTGCTACAATATAAGGAAATCTGTAATTACCATATTACCCCCCTAGTTGAACAACCAGCTTCTTATACTGTGGCTATTGAGAGGAAGAATAAAATTTAAAATGTTTCAGACATGAAGTTTAATATTTAATTCCTGTTAAAACACATCACAGATTTATATCATGTGGTGACTTTACCCTCATTACTTCCTTTTTCTTTTTCTTTTTTTTTTTTTTTGGTACGTGTCCCTACCAGGAACTGAATCCAGGACTCTCTGGCCTGCAGGCCAATGCTCCAACCACTGAACCAACTGGCCAGGGCCCTTTTTACTTTCTTTTTTTAAAAATTTTTATTTATTTATTTATTTATTTATTTATTTATTTTTTTAATCCTCATCCGAGGACATTTTTCCATTTTTTGTACAGACAGAGTGGGAGGGAGAGAGAGGGAGAGAGAGAGAGGGAAACATCGATGTGAAAGGGACACATCGAGTGGCTGCCACCCGCACGACCAACCAGGGCTGGGGACAAACTGCAACTGAGGTACATGCCCCTAGCGGGAACCGAACCTGGGTCTCTCCGGACCGCAGGTGGACGCTCTAACCGCTGAGCCAAACCGGCCAGGGCCCTTTTTACTTTCTTAAATGTAGTTATTTCACAAGATCTTTCCTTTGACTTATAGCTGTTTTCTGTAAATATTTATTTCCAAGGAGAAATTATGTTCTCATTGCTTAACCTATTATCTTTACATCTATGAGTCTTAAATCTACACATCTAGCCCTCACTTCACACCTAGAATATAGTTCCACATATGTATGTATAAAACATTTTCATCTGGCTATTTTTACTGTAACCCTAAGCTCGGTATACCTAAACCAACATTTGTTTTCCCACACATTCTCAATTATTCCATTTTGGATGTAGGCACCATTATTTTTAGTTTCCAGGCTAGGATTATAGAATCATTCTTTGACTCTTTCCACTCCATTGTGGCATATATTCGGTTTGTCATTTTTTAAAGCATTGGATTCACCTGTACCTAACATTTCCTCTGATATGTTCCTAGTCTAAGTCCTATAACTTCTTACCTGACCAGACCTGGGGATGCTGTGGTACATAAGGCAGATTAGATTCCTGATCTCAGTTTAAAAGAAATCATGACAGCTGCCTATTGCCTTCTACATAAAGTTCAGACTTACTCTATCTAATAGAAACCAATGGTAAGTAGCAAGTCTTCACCTTCAGATGTCTCTTTCTAGATCATTGTGTTACAGCACACATAGCATCACTTTCTAATTATTTGTTTACATATTTGTTTCCCTTACTACTCTGGGTTACTGGAGAGGGAGATTGTAAGTATATTTTTGTATCATAGTGCCTAGCATGATATCTGTCACGAATATCAGTGAATCTTTGTTGGATGAATGGATGAAAAGCATAGTACTTTTTTTTTTCTTTTTAATCCTCACCCGAGAACATTTTTCCATTTTTGTTCAGATAGAGTGGGAGGGAGAGTGAGGAAGAGAGAGAGAAACATCAACGTGAAAGGGACACATCGAGTGGCTGCCACCCGCACGACCAACCAGGGCCAGGGACAAGACCCTGTTTACCTACGCTGCCATTTTGACTGGAAGTCTCCATCTTCATTCTTATTCTTTGATGTTTATTCTTATTCTAACCGTCATGGTCCCATATAATTGTCTCTTTTTAAATATCTTCCCTTCTAGCTCTTACCCACACTGATTTCTTGCTTGTATAACACTTTTTTTGCAAATATGTTGCCTGACAGTTATATAATTTATAGTCTGTTATATTGATCAGCATTATGCATTTTTATGTATATTATTGAATTCATTCACTGTTTAATGTGCAGTTTGTCTGATGTTCCAAACTTGACTGGCAATGTTGTGTGTTGGCTCTTTTCCTCTCTCATTGTTTATAAGGGTTGACTCTTTCTACAAAGATGAAAATTCTGTAAATAGGATAGCGCTAATTACTATTTAACAAAGGACAGTTGTGTGGTCATCCATTCTAGTTATTGATTTTCTGAGTGTCTCTGAGTATCACTGTAATCATTATATTAAATTGTATGACTGAATTCAGGCTGGTCAGATCATCAAGCACCTAAAAAATAAAACACAAAACTTTTTATATAGTTCTGTTGGAATATTACAATAGACACAGGTAGACCATCTTTTTGGTTAATATACCATGTCTGATAATATTAGTTAACTATATTTTGCAATCATGTTGTATAACTGATAAAAAATGAAAATGTTTTCTTGGAGGATATAGTGTACTTTGAGAAACTCACTGGTAACTACAATAAAATGTTTGTATATTTAAAACAGCAGTTTTGCCCTGGCTGGTTTGGCTCAGCGATTAGAGCATCGGCCTGCGGTTCTGAGACACCCGGGTTCGGTTCCCGCTAAGGGCACGTACCTTGGTTGCAGTTTGTCGCCTCGCCGGCCCTGGTTGGGTCGTGTGGGTGGCAGCCACTCGATGTGTCCCTTTCACGTTGATGTTTCTCTTTCTCTCTCTTCCTCTTTCTCCCTCCCACTCTATCTGAACAAAAAATGGGAAGGTGTCCTCGGGTGAGGATTAAGAAAAAACAAAACAGCAGTTTCACATTGCATCAAGATAATTTAACTGCACCAGGTGTTTTGTCCATAGTAAATACCACATATTAAGAAAAAGAAAGTATAGATTTCCATAAATCTCCCTTTTACTTGCTTATATTAGGATGGTTTATTTTATCATTAGGGAAAGAGATAATATAATAAAAGCCACCTAAATGTTTTGTTTGTGTTACTATTACTAGACACGGTATCTTTCTCACAAATAGCTTACCTATTCTTGTTACTGTTTTTCCTTCTTAACTCTTACATATTCATTTATTTTCTCTAACTATAGTTTATCAAATTTTCCATTTATCTATTTATTGCACATATCCAACCTTATTCTAGAATAGATGTAAGATGTCTTTCTGTTGTTTTTTTTACTGGCTCAATTACTTCAGTTTCTGCTGTCACACCCCTCACCTTTAAAAGTCTTTGTAAGTGATTTGTTCTTTAACTATTTTCCTGATTGACTCATCACCCAGTAATTAGAAATATATAGGCCTGATTATGTGGTGAGCCATCTGTAGAATTGACCAATGCCTCCATACTTTTTTTTAATTTGCACTTAACCTTTCTTTCCAAGCAGAGGAATTTGTTATTTTTTTTTCCTGTCTCATTGCAATGTAAATTTTTATAATATAATTTCAAAATTTTAGACTTATCACAAAAAATTATTATAATTTTTTTAACATCTTCAATTCTTACATGATGAGGAACTTAATGTCATATTTTAGGGATTGGAATAACATTTGCTTTTATGCTACTTAAATTTAATGTCAAAGTAGAGTTTAACTTGTGTTTGAGAGTCAGATCTTATTTTGCCTAACATTTTTATTTTTAATGACTGGTTATTGAATAGATTTCTAGAGTAGGTGTTATGTCTGTTGCTCTTCTTGATTTCTAGTTGTTATTAATGTATCCAGTATGACAGCTTCATGTAGGTCAACTTTCTTAAGTTTCCACTACCATTGACTTTTAAGTATCTGGTTTAGGAAATGGGGAAGAATAAATCAGAATTACCTGGGTTGTTTTTTCAAAATACATACCACTAGGGATTCTGATAGTTTACTCTCTCTGCCATTCCTCCTTAGAAATCAATTCATGGCTATAGTGAATCACTGTTACTGAAGGAACTTAAGATAGTTCTCAGATGTGTCAGCTTGCCTTAGTATCCCAAAAGAAACTAGCTTGCATAGTACTTGTGTATTTTTATTTAAAAAGTTATCAAAATGATTCATGGAAAGTAATATTTCATAAAGCAATAAATGACTACAAGTTTCAAATATGTGCAAGCTGGAGCAAAAGTAGGTTTACAGTTGTCCATATGGAGAATAATACAATAATAAATAAATAATAATAATACAAAAATAAACTCAGTGTTTCGAGTACTTACAACTATAATTCTTCTTTTGCCCCACCCTGTATTGTATCTAGTAATAAAAGTATTCTTCTCCTAAAGTGATAAATTAGACAAATACTTAGAGAAGTCATTGGCTATAAAGAAAACAATTCTGAATGTGGTGCCCTTTTCTGAAACATTAAAAGCCTAAGTAGGAAGTACTAAAATTAACACAAAAGAAAATTTCTTAATTATTTTCTGTCTTCATTCTTATTTCCTTTTGTTTTGCATAACTTTCACAAAATGTATCTTTTTTATAACCAGTGTTCTGAAAGTTGACTACTTTCTGATCTGCCTTCGGTACAGGTCCCTTCTTTTCTTCTCTCTTTACTCTGGAATTAATCCTCTACCTACTTCACAGGCCGATTCTTTGATGAGAATGAATCCCCTGTTGATCCGCAGCATGGCTCTAAACTGGCGGATTATAATGGGGATGATGGTAACGTAGGTGAGTATGAGGCAGACAAGCAGGCTGAGCTGGCTTACAATGAGGAAGAAGATGGTGATGGTGGAGAGGAAGACGTCCAAGGTGAGCGTGGGCCTGGCCTCCATGCTGTGACCATGAAACCCACCAACCCAATTTGGTTGAATTTGTGTAGAATTTTCCCAGGTATTAGTAACAGTACAGTCTAATACAAAGAGGTTCTGTGCAGTTTTTCAATTGCATTTTGAAAACTATTTTATGATAGTGGTATTAGTAGATTTGTAAATAAATTAATTATTTTCACTTTTAGTTATATGTGTTATTGGTATAGAAACAATTTGAAACTCAGAATCTGGAGAAATTTTACAATTAAATTGTTTAAAATGGCTCTAAACTTTACCCAAGGCGAGTACTCCCAGAAAATAATAATTTTCCTATTTCTCATCTGAAAGCATTTCAGTTATTCTAGGTACAAATATTGACCAGGCAGCCTTTTTGTTATTAGGGAAGCCACAAAGGGAATAGTCTTCTCTGCACTGAAGATAAAATTATTTAACTACTGATTCAGCATAGAAAGGCTGTTTTCAAATTTTTTTCTGAGGCTTAAAATTTATATTTAACAGTCAGTTTGTGAAGATTTATCTGTTTTATGTTTGATACACAGATTCAACATATTTTCCTTGTTAACTGTTATTTCTGAGCTTTTTTAACTAAGTTCAGAATCTACTTGTGTGCATGCAGCCCTACCCGTGCATGCATATTAGAGCATGTTGCTTTATTGCAAGTTTTTAGGCCTGTTTTCTGCCTGCTGACATCATTTAGTAGTATTCGTGGAGCTTTTCTTTTTTCTATAAAAGTTGATTATAAAGTTAATGTGTGTGTTTTAGATTTTATAATATTATGCATGAACTATTTTTTCAATGTGACCTGTCTTGATTTACTGCTTAGCTATTTTTAAGGTAATTAAATTTTATTTAGGTTCATAATAAGAGTTGATTTTATAAAACTTGGAAGAAAATATAGTTGTCCTAAAATACTACATATTTAATAGAAAAAGGGAAACAAAATGCTCTGACTTCCTCCTAGGCATTGTTTTGATAGCCCATTCTAGTTTTAGAAGAATGATTATTAGGAATAGAAGGAGATTAATAAATGTTAGGAGTTATTTAAGGATATGTTAACGAGAACTTCTCAAACACTTTTTGGTACTTTTGAATAAATTATACTCACCTCTCTATACTCGTATCCATTTTCATAAATTTTACCATATTTTCTTACTGCTTTTGTGATTTGTTTGGATATTTATTTGCAGTTGTTTATAACGTTGTATTAAGGCCTATTCATACATTTACATCATATCACCAATTAGAATATAAGCTTTTAGAGGGCAGTTTTCATTTATTTTGCCTTCTATTTAGTTTGTATCTTTTTTCTGCCTTCATATTCCTCCTCCTCACCACCTGTAGTTTTTAGCACACACAGGACGCTCAGTAAATGTTGTTAACTGATACTTTTACCTTTTTCTCATTTGATTTTTATTCTTATAACTGTGACTAGGGTAATAACCCTTTAACTTCTGGTCTTATAAGCTTGCTTGGTTTACACTTTACACATTTCTAGTTTTCTTTCAGAAGGGCTTCTATCATCTCAGATCATTTTGAAGTTTTCATTAGAGCAATTTCAACCATAATTGAAAGTCATTTCTTATGTTTTGGCTATCTTAAAGGTGATGACTTTATTATAAAACTTCAGTTTAATATTTTTATGGTTTTATCCGTAACAGGTACATTTATGTTTGATGCCTTCTTTCTCTGTCTTTCTGGTACCCTCCTCCCTCTTCTACCCTCAGTTCTCATTGCCACTTTCCACTGTAGGTCCTCACTACCCCCATGCTGCCCTGCCATTACTGTCCCAAGAAAATTAATGCATTGATTCTAAGAAATATAGATAAGGAAATGACCTAGGATGATATCTTCAGTGAAATAGGGAGGGGATTGGTTAATCTTGGGGTTTCTTCATTTGCAAGTAAATCTTACTTGAGCTGGAGTTTGCTATTTAACATTTTTATCCCATTTTGGGGTTCACTAAATGACAGCACCAGAGGAGAGGGCAGCTACCAAGAGGACTCCCTTATCATAGAGAACAGAAAGATGCAAGAACATCAACTCCAGCAAATAAAAAGGGATCAGTTTAGGTGAAATGACTAAAAAGAAATACTGGAGACCCAAATAATTTTAAACTTGTTTTCATGTTTAAAACTTTTATCTATAGTATTAACTTCAAAAAGTGAGGAGGGGAAATTATGACTGTTCCCTAGTTAAGTTTGAATATTTGGAATTTAAAAGCATTTCTTTATAGCTTCAGTGTAGAAATAATGGTTGAGTTCCCAGGCCAGTTTGCACTTGCAGCCAAAGCAGGCACTAGAGTGGAAAAATACATTAGCCTGAGAATTAGGAGATCAGCTGTGTGTTGCTTTTCCAATCACTTAAACTCTCTGGGCCAAAATTTATTCATCTGTAATGTTAGAGTATTTAACTAGTGTTCTTCTCAGTCCTACAATACTGTGGTTACATTCACAGTGGAATCACAATATATAACACAAGTATTATGGGAAAATGTGTTTTAGATTTCAGCATGCCTGAAATATATCTTCCTCCAAAACCAGGAAAGAAAATGGAAACTACTCCAGCATTGAGACTGTAACCAGAGATCAAAACAAGGTTATAGCAATAGGGGCTCTTCTCTGCTCTCTCTAGTATTAGTAGGTTTTTTTCTCAGACTGTTGTGTACCTAGCATTAGAGATTCCAGCTGCAGGACTGAAGTTCTGGCTTCGGCTAAGGACATTCTAGCTTTGGTCTTTGAAAGTCTGGATTATGAAATGGAGGTTTGGGCAGCATCTCTGCCAGTAGGGAGCTAAAGGAGTCCAACTTTATCTCTGATGTCTGTTCATATGTATTGCTCATTTGGGCTAGCATGGTATACACAGTGTTTTCTTGTAGAATTAAGTGAAGCCTAATTTTCCTATGTTTCCAATCCTGGTTTATTTTGGCTTTTAGTTACTGGTTTCCTGAAGCATCTTAAAAGAAATATTTTATTTACATTGGTGTAAAAAATTGTTTTCCTGACTTCTTAAAGATCAACTCTGGAAAGACTACACATCTGATGGATATATCTTTTAATTCATTCTTCATTGTAATAAGTAGATGGATATTTACAAATTCCCTGTATTCTTATCTTTAATCTTATAGAAGTTCTGAGTTTGTTTAATAGAATATGAAATGCATATTATTAAATATAGCTATGGAAGGAAGCTTTTCATAGTGCTTAAGTGCCTGATTCTAAGCCAAGACTTCCTGGATTTGAATCCCAACTGTACCACTTACTAGCTCTGTCACCTTGTGAATTATGTAACCTCTATGCCTCAATTTCCTCATCTGTCAAATAGGTATAACTATAATTACCTAACTCAACAGTTATGTGGATTATATGATTTAAATATTTGTTCAGCATTTAGAACAGGGTCTTTCACATTGTAACACTATATACGTGTTTGTTAAATAAAATCCTAATTTAAAAAGTTAAAGCAAATTTAGAATTTTTTTTCTCTGGGTTGCCTGCTTTAGAGGATAATTGCACTTTGGCCTATAGATTAACTTGTATGTTTCAGTGGAGCCTCACTGCTTAGTAGAACTTGTTTTATGGCAGTGGTCTTTTCTTGACCTCAGAAGTAATTTAGGAATTATTTAATAAATTATTAATGTCTTTAAATTATATTTCTTTAGTAGTCATTTTATGTTGTGAGCTATTTACAGATTTTGCTGCTTTGTAAAGTGAAATAAAATATGAGTTTATATAATTATATTTAGTAATTGTTATTCTGTATCAGATTTAGTTAGGTAATTTCATCATACTTTATAGATAGATGCAGATGTTATTAGTAGAAACTTGAATTCTGGTTAGAATAACTGCATTGAAAAGGTACTCTACTTAGCTCAATGTAAGAAAGATATTTCAAAAGTCCTATGAAATTCTGAAAATCACTGTGAAGGCACTATATTAAAACGTTGCTAAAGAGCATAAGTTAAGCCCAGCTGGTGTGGCTTAGTAGTTGAGCATGGACCCATGCACCAAGAGATCACTGGTTCGATTCCTGGTCAGGGCACATGCCCAGGTTGTGGGCCTGATCCCCAGTGGGGGCATGCAGGAGGTGGCCAATCAATATGCCTCTCTAAAATCAATTTAAAAAAAGAAAAAAAGAGCCTAAGTTAAGAAAACTGACAAATTTCTTATATTTATAGAGGTCCTTGGCTGTCTTCATAAGCATTATTTTAAGGCAGAAAAAAGAGCTATCATTCCTATTCTATTGAGAAGTAATTAGAGGTCTAAAGAGGTTTGGGAACTAGATCGTATTTGATAAGTGCCTAAGACAGGGCTAGAATTCAGTTTTTTCTATTCTTAGATCTTTGCTCTTATCTTGTTTATTCTTTATAATTACTCATTTAAGAATCCCCAAAAGTAACAATATTTTTTCAATAACTTGCCTGTTAAATTTCTAGTAATTCTGTATATAGTAGCTTTTTCCACTGCTTCATGATGATTGTCTTCATTTAATTTCTAAAGTCCTGAAAGATGTGTTTATAGCCATAAGGTGAGGTCCCATAAGGTGGATCCTAGGTGCCAGTGACTTCTTTTTAAATCCAAAGATAACTTTTTAAAGTACAAAGATATTTTCAAAATACAAATATGATTAAGGATGTAATTTCAGCCTTTATATGTAGCAGATTTGGGGTTTTCATACCTAATAGATTACATTATTAAAGAAATGAGATCTGTTTGTTAGAATATGATGTATAACACTTTCCTACCATTCTAAATGATAATTTCTATAAGTTTAACAGGAAAGGTATCAAAAGGAAAGAGAAAGTTGGTTTGTTTGGCATATTTTATGAATAAATGTAAAGAAAAAATAAGAACATATCATTATGAAAAGTTAATACATAGTACATATACCATATGGCATCTTTCTTGAACAAAAATTTATAGTAGGATATACCAGAAAAACTGATAGTGGAAAACCTAATAAACCAAAATAAATTGATTTCAGAAAGCTATAGTGTATATATGAATTTAGATTCCAATATATAAATCTTTATAAATTATATAAAATTATATTTCTAGACAGATGATAATAACACCTCAATCTATCAAAAACTAAGCTATTGGGTAACTATAACGTGAACCAGAAAGTAAGAGAAGTCATTTAAAAAAATTTTTTTTAATTTATTAATTTTTAGAGAGAACAGGAGAAGGAGAGAGAGATAGAAACATCAATGAGAGAGAGCATTGATTGGTTGCCTCCTGCGTACCCCCCACTGGGGATTGGGCCCACAACCTGGGCATGTGTCCTGACCGGGAATTGAACTGGCGACCTCTTGGTGCATGGGTCGTGAGCCACACCGGCCAGAGAAAGAAGTCATTTTTTAAGACTGGAGTAGCCAAAAGATGTCATTAAAAGCCATATACTAAAAAGGGAGCCTCTTAGGCTGTGGTTGAAATTATTCTAGTTCTAACATTTTAATACCCTGAGAAGTCTTATTTAAAAGCCTGTAGTTTGTAGCAAAATTAGAAAAGAAGGATTGCTATTGGCAGATAAACTGACAGTAATGTGAAGTGACAGTTGATACCTATGAAGGACCTCCCCGCCCAAAGAAAACCTGTGAATGGCCAAATAAGTCAAACTCCAAGAGACTATATAGAGTTGTTGAATATAGCTACTCATAGTGACTATAGGGATATTACTGTCTAACAATATTATGTAATAACTTTTTTATTTTTGTAAAGAAAAGGTTAAGTTTTGGTATGTATACTCCATTTGGGAAGTTAACTGTTAAACTCTTTGCAGAGAAGCAAAGAAATTCACTAAAATGTTAAATGTTGGGATTATGAGTAACTTTTATTTTCTAATATTTACCTGATGACTATGAATTAATTAAATTTTTTTTCTTTATTGTTTTAGAGAAAGAGGAAGGGAGAGGGAGAGAGAGATAGAAACATCAATAAAAGAGAACATCGATCGGCTGCCTCCTGCATACCCCCACTGGGGATTGGCCCACAACCTGGGCATGTGCCCTGACTGGGAATCAAACCAGTGACCTTTTGGTGTATGGGTCGATGCTCAACCACTGAGCTACACCAGCTGGGCAACTATAGATTAATTTTATAATTAGAAAAAGTTTGGTTTTTAAAGGCATGAAAATATATACAGAACAGTTTCTACCAAAGCTTTAATTAAAATAACTGGCCTTCATCTATATAAAAATAATATATAAAAGAATCAACTCCTCATTGTGGGATTCTAATGTTTTGCTGACTAGATCTATATAGCTAGCATCCCTCCCTCCCTCCCTCCCTTCCTTCCTTCCTTCCATCTGTACATCCATCCACCTACTCTATCATTAAAATACTTGTCAAAATGAAGTAATCTTCCAAAACAGTTAACAGACTTTCCCTCTTTAGCCAAGCAACGGAGAAATAGAACACTGTTTGCAGAAGGTGTAAAATAATAAGCAGAAAATTACCTGAAAAAAAAAGAGACATTTTTAAATTGGATTTCTGAAAGTGATTTTAAAAATAATATTCTTGATACATATTCCCTTTCAGATGATGAAGAACGAGAACTTCAAATGGATCCTGCAGACTATGGAAAACAACGTTTAAATGATGTCCTTTAAGTCCTAAAGGAAAACTTCAGAAAACCTAAAGTGCTATAAAATGGAATCATTTCTACTTTGTCTTTTTTGACTTTTGTTGTAAAGATCAGTTGTATCAGTTATAAAGATACATTCAGTTAGATTTAAGAAAAAAATTTAATGAAAGAATGTACCCATGTACATATGTGAACTTTTTCATATTGTATTATTAAAGCAGAGACCTTTTTGGTATATTATAGTTGAGCCAAAAACAAAGTAAGCAAAACTGTAGTCTTTGCATTTAAAGCAAACTAATGTATATTTTACATTTTATTGAGCCTATTTCTTTACACAAATGGAGAAACAGGAAAAAATGGTTGTACAGTTTATAAGTTGCACATAACATAACCACACAGTGAAAACAGTTATTCAACTAAGAAACTTTTTATATACTTATTCTTATTAGCCCAACAGGTGTTCTGTTCTATCTACCCCTTATCTCATGCTCTTCCAGGAATTATACCTAGAATAGGTATAAAAGATGGGAACATGGAAGCCAAACACTGGGCAGCATGTGTGCAAAATCACTTCCCTACTCCTTTTATTTTACATGAGTGCCGATGTGTTTTGGCAGGTAAGCTTTCAGCTGAGGCCTGATGAAAGTTGAGATAACCTGCACAGACATAACAATATTTATGAGTTAGTTCATGAAATTGTGAAATGCATGATTGACAGTATACTTTCCTCCCCCCCTGCCCCCCCCCCCTCCGCATAATACCAGTACTGTTTAACTATAACCAGCACTGGCTAAAATTTTTATATTTTCAGAGTTCAAGTTAATGAACATATTCATGATTTAAATGCCATATTCTAAAAGAGGCTAAGTCAACTTTGAAATGAATCTGCAGTCAGTATTTCAAAGCTTCTCTCGTAGTTTTAGTGATATTATTTGACTGTACTTTTGCAGAATTACTAAATAAGGAGTTTTAACAGATTTTTATTATTGCACAGATAAATAGAAATTCAGTGAGGTCTATAGTCATTTTATTAAACTAGCTTAAAAGTTTGTAATAAAGATGAGGAATCTTTGTAATTACTTAAATGCTAGTTAAGAACCCATAAATCTCATATTTGCTAGTCCTACAAAATTATTTTAAATGCATTTGTCTTTTTTGACACTTCAGAATACATAAGCTAGCTAATTCTTGTTTTCTGAGTTAAAGCACTTTTAAATCTTACCGCTCCACTCCCAAAATAAAAGGTTTTTATCATAAGGAGAAATTTAAGGTTCCTAACTCTGTGTTTCAGAAGGGCTACTGGTAATTGCAAATAAACATGAAATGCTTCCCCCGCCCCTGTACTCAGGTTCTAGTCAAAATTCATATTTATAGATTTAAAAAAAGTTTTTCACTTATTGGAGGTACAAAAATTCTTAAACTTTAGTTTAGAAATTATTAAGCAACCAGGAAAAGATACAGTGATTTACTAATTTGTTTTTTCTATCATATCAAAGCAAGCAGTTCATGCCTTTGCTATGAGTAGAGTCAGGCTTATAAATGAATAGGTATGATAGTTCACAGAACTTTTTTAAATGGAGTTAAAGGGAATTAATGTATAACTTGTGGGTGTTAGGGTGGGAAGATAAATCTAAAACATAATCCTAGTAATATTTTATTTAATACTGTAAAATCTTTACAAATGAAAACCATGAAATTTCCTGCCTTAGTTTGTTTGTCATAAAAACAATCACTTGGTAATATGGTAGCTATTACTTATACAGCAAAATTTCTTCAGATAGCAGTCTAGACATTTTATAAACTGAGAAAAGTTGGACCAATTGATACTATTTCCAACTGTATTAACATTTTAATGCTATAAAATGCTATGTGAATCTCTTAAAATCCTGACATTCTACAGTCTGTGTTAGACATGCTGGTTTTATAATGTTTTACTTCTGCCTTAAGATTTAGGTTTTTTAAATGTACTTTTGCCCTGAATTAAGTGTTAATTTGATGAAAACTCTGCTTTTGAAATCATCACTTACTGGGTTCTAATAAATTAAAATTAAACTTGTTTTACTATTTTGCTGATTCTGATAACATACACACATCACACTTACATGATGCAAATAGCTACATTTTAATGTTAAAGTTGAATAAATTTAGAATTTATTTTAAGCAAGCTAAACTAGAATAGCAGAAATTTTTATACCAGGGCTGTTTACTGTGCTAGTTTATTCAACAAATATTGAATGTTTTCTATGTGCCCAGCATTGTTCTAGGTAGTAAGAATCTGAAATGGATAAAATAGACCTGGTTTCTTTCCTTACAGAGCTTACTACATTTAACTTGGAGCAGTTAGACAATATACAAGGTAAACACATGAGCCAGGTCATTTTAAATAATGGTAAGAGCTATTAAAAATAGAACAAGGTTCTGCCCTGGCCCATGTGGCTCAGTAGGTTGGGCATCGTCCCATATACCAAAAGGTTGCTTGTTCATTTCCCAGTCAGGATATATGCTCCACTTGGTGGCCTGGATCCCTAGTAGGGGACACGTAGGAGGCAGCTGATTGACGTTCTGCTCTCACATCGATATTTCTTTCTCTCTTTTCCTCTTTCACTAAAAATCAATTTAAAAATCTAAAATAAATAAGTAAAACAAGATTCCAAGGTCTATAAGGTTCTAAATTTTCAGGTTTTTACTTAACAAACATTACAGTTGTTAGGCTAGAAAATAATGAGTAAGAAAGGAAATGAGGCTGAAGAGGTATAGAAGGGGCAGGATAGGGAGAATCTTATAAATTTAGGTCACTTGCTACTGAACCATAAAGAGAAAATGTAGAACATAAAATATACATGGAAGGATGATTCCAGGAAAAATTCAGATTTCAAAATGATTTCTAAAATATTTCTTTTTATTTAAAAAATTCTGAAGAACATGTGCCTTTTTGACTTCTCATTTATAAAACGCTATAACAACAAAATTTATTAAAATACGAGGACAGAGAATCTGTTAAAAAAATTATGAAAGGGATAGTCACTTCTGTTCCCTCACATGTCTGGCTCAATGGCTCTAATGAGACAGTCAAATACTGTAAACAGTACATTTCCCAAGTCTTAACATCACATGTGGGCCATCAATTGTGATACATCCAGTTCATTTTAATAGACTCTCCTTACTGAGGGTTCTAAAAGAAAATTCAACCAACTATACAGATAAAGGGGGAAATTTAATGGTCCATGTAAGTAAACTGCATGAAGGGCAGGAGTCTCCTGGACTTGAGAATAATTGGAACTAGGACTTGAATGCTGCCAACTTTGTTTCATCAACTCCCATTTCTGTTTCTATTGCCTTCTCTCATACCAGTTCCCTCATTCAAAGCTCTAACCATGACTTCTAGCAGGTCATCTTTTCTTAGTTTTGCCATCTGAGAGAGGCTGCTGCTCTTTCCTTATTTCCACTTCAGAAAATCCTAGGGAAGTGGGACTTCTGCTTCTGGCTATAATTGAGTAACTTGACTACCCCTTCTAGATAGTAGCAGCTATAAAACTGTACAAGATATATTGAGCAACTCTTTTCGGGCAGCATAAAACTGGAATTTTCAAGAGAAGGGAAACGTAAGTAGTTGAGCCCCATAATCATCCAGTTTCCTATGGCATAAATAGGCTGGAGTGCTGAACTGAGAAGACAGAGATCATAGAGGGAAGCAGCTAAAGCAGTTTTATTCTTTGGGGTTGGGCATCAGAGAAGAGAGAGCTATTCAGAGAGGTGGCCCCAGAAATCCATATGGGGTCATCACAAGTCCAGGGCTGTATATAATCAGAGCAAGACCACCTGATGCTTACCAGAGAGCAGATGCTACACAGTTGAGAATGGAACAGAGATACCAAAGGTCAACAAGTGTTGGCACAAAAGGAGCGCTAAGGGACACAGAGTTCTGGGCCTGCCAAAGTAGAGACCTCCTTAACAACTGTGACATCCAGTTGATATACTAGAAAGGATGTACCTTAAGAATAAAAACTAGCCCAGCCGGTGTGGCTCAGTGTTTGAGCATTGACTCATGCACCAAGAGTTCGCCAGTTCGATTCCTGGTCAGGGCACATGCCCAGGTTGTGGGCCTGATCCCCAGTGGGGAGCATGCAGGAGGTGGCCAATCGATGTTCTCTCTCATTGATGTTTCTACCTCTCTTTCCCTCTTCCTTCCTCTCTCTCTGAAGTCAAAGAAAAAACAATTAAAAAAAAAAAAAAGAATAAAAACTGTGCCTTAGAGTAAGACCTACTCTAGACCTGCCAAGATTTCAGGAAAGATAGCTTGTGGAAGTGGAGCCCTGCCAAGTTGGAACTTATGAAACTCCTTAGGTTTTCCATAGACATGAACTAACAAAACATAAAACCAAGCCTATACTAGTTTAAGGTGACCACTCTGTAACTGAAGTACCTGAAAAAAAAAGAATCATCACTTTAAAGAAGATAACAGAATTCAGAATCTCTACAATATATACACAATGTCCAGTATTCAATTAAAAATCACTAGACATACAAAGGCACAAAAAAAATGTCATCTAGTTTTTAAAAATTGGCATGGCCTTTTTTATTACTTGTTATATTGTTTATTTATTAATACAGGTAATAAAAATATGTACAGTCCTGGCAGGTTTGGCTAAGTGGTTGGAGCATCGGCCTGTGGACCAGTGAGTCATGGGTTTGATTCCAGTCAAGAATACATACCTTGGTTGCAGTTCATCCCCAGCCCTGGTCAGTGACTTGAGGGAGGCAACCAGTCGATGTGTCTCTTTCACATCAGTGTTTCTCACTCTCTCTCCCTTCCTCCTACTCTATCTGAAGATAGATACAAAAAAAAAAAAAAAAATCCTCAGATGAGGATTAAAAGAAATATATATACAATGATTAAACAAAAAAAAAATTTTTTTTTTAATCCTCACCCAAGGACATTTTTCCATTCATCTTCAGATAGAGTGGGAGGGAGAGATTGGTTGCCTCCCACGTGACCCCAACCAGGGCTGGGGACTGAACCGCAATTGAGGTACTTGCCCTTGACCGTAATCAAAACCCCAACTTTTTTATCCTCGGGCTGATGCTCTAACAACTGAGCAAAACCAGCCAGGGCAAACAGAAATGTTTTAATGAGTGAACAATTTCAGCACAGAAATGAAAATTATAAAAGACCTAATGGAATTCAAGAACTGCAAGGTACAATCACTGAAGTTTAAAAATTTATTGGAAGCCCTGGCCGATGTTGGGCATTGTCCTGTGTACCAAAAGGTTGCCAGTTCAATTCTTGGTCAGGGCACATGCCCAGATTGTGGGGATCTGGGTGTGCAAGAAGCAGCCAATTGATATTTTGCTCTCACATGGATGTTTCCCTCCCTCTCTCTTACCCTTCCTCTCTCTCTAAAAATCAACTTAAAATCTTTTTAAAATTCATTGAATGGGTTTAATAGCAGATTAGAAATGGTAGTAGAATGAATACATACAAATATAGTTTATCTATTATTAGGGAATAGAAGGTTGAACTGTTGAGAGACCCAGAATTGTGGATTTGGGACTCATTCTTCAAATACTTGAGTCCTCAAGATGCTGTCCATCCCATCCCCTAACACATAAGCCCAAAGATTCCATCATGAAAGTACAATGAAGATTTTTTTTTTTTCATTCCTCACCCAAGGATATTTTTTTCTACTTATTATCAGATAGAATGGGAGGAAGAGAGAGAGAGAGAAACATTGATGTGATA